TCTGTTATGTACATGTCTTTAAGTGACTAAATCTCAAGGGGAAAAATAACCCATTCTTCAGTGAGTTGGCACATGTTACCTCATTTTCAAGAAATCATTATCCAGTCTCCCTCTGTTTCTTTGTTGAAATATTAACTCTAATTTCACGAGGCTTTTAAAAATTAGGTGAAAATTTCTTTTTCTTCATTTGTAAAGAATAATTTTACAAAATTCTCAAATGTCTATAAAAGTTGAACAGGAGTAACTTAATTAAAAGAAAAGATCACCAAGCTTTGAAAGTTTAGCTTTATAAAATCTGCCTTTGAGTTCTTAGAAATTCAAGCCTATCTGTATAGGTTGAATTGAAGTTGCTGTCTTTTTCTTCAAACCATTTTTACTAATTAAATTTTTAAAAATTAACTCATGTTTAATAATTACATGGCAGAAAGATATAGAATATTCTTTTCATTTTAAGAATAGCTTTTCTAGTCAATTTAACTGATATAATTGGATGAGAGTTGGATGAGAATTTCTTTCACCTCAATTTCTGGAAACGTGTTTCCTTCCATAATATTGACAGAACCCCTCCTAGATGAAAATATTTTTAATTTTGTGATAGTTTGAAGAAGAAATTACAGTATCAAATTATGTTACTTATGTTGTTTATCTTCAAAAGTAGGGAAAAAACCAAAAACAATATTTAATCATTAATAACATTGAACCAATATCTTTTAAGACCTTTAGTTAAATGTACCTGATTCAGTTGAACTCAGATTATCAGCAAAAAACTTATAATTTGGAGCAGATCTTCATTTCCCCATATTGAAATAGATAAGACTGAATTCATTTCACTCTGATTCTGGATGTCTGCATATCTTAGATCTAAGTTTATTTCTTCTTATCTCTTGTCTATTGTAAAGGGTAGAAACAGAATAAAACAAATTATTAAAAAAATTTAAATAAACATCACAGAGAGTAGATTGGATGGAATTTTCAGACTAACTTAACTCTTCTCAAAGAATTAATCCTGCCAAATTTAATATCAATAGGCTTGGGGCAGGATTATACAGTACAGGTTTGAGAGTTCAAAACAGAATGAGCTAATATTGCTTTTTTGGACAGTTATTATGGTTATATTATGCATCTTAGAGATATCTTTAACTACCTAACCTGAAAAATTTCAGAATAATTTATGCATTGCATTTAAGGAAGCAGAGCCCTCCAGAGGAGACAAGTAGGTCAAATGACAAAAGCATTTGCAACACAAGATCTGCCCTTTTTTGTATGTGCATTGTAACTCCACATAGATATAAGAAAAGGGTAGAATATGTGTGCAAGGTCCTGAAGATGCATATTGAGTTTTCTAGTTTAGAGTGCAGGAGAAAATGAATAAAATACCTTTTTCCTGTTAATTGTCATTTACAGTTTTTTATGAAAATGGATACATCAGTAAAAATGAATAGGCAAAAAGTCTTCAGTTTTGTAAGGATAGGTATGGATACTATAGAGTTAAAGCATCATAATGGATTAAAGTTTTTAGTTTGTGTTTGTGTGTTCTGTTCAACTGACAGAATATTCATAAAAAATAAAGATGTAGACAGATATATATAAAACAAACTTCAGTGTAGTAGAATCAAATGGATAAACTTTTTCCAAGCAAACATCCAATATAATATTTAATACCGTCTCAGCCCCAGTGCTAGGAGAGAAATCCACCAAAGATCACTGAAGAGTAGAACAGTCCTTCAAACATCCCTCCCTCAAAATTTTGTATTTTAGTAGGTAGACAGTTCCAGTAAATCCATTAAGTATGTTTACCAGTTATACATTTTGCAACTAGTTTGTGTTAGAATACCCAGCAAATCAATGATTAAATGTCACTTTCCATTTTTATGTTTTCTATCCACACTGATTTTCAAATATACCTCTTCAGCCATCTGTACAGATTCCAGAACTTTTGGAATAGGGCAAGTTATCAATCAAAATTAATATTAGATAGTTAACAAGCTATCATGGAAACCTAGCCTGTACATCAATTAAAAATGTTTTTGTCAAGAAGTTGGCAATAAAGCTGCCTGTAAAGTAATACAAAAATTGTTTTTCTATAAAAATGTGGGAAATATATTTTGTTTTCTTGTGCTTCATATATCTAATTTACCAAACAATTTAGAAAATCATTTATTGTATCAAGGCAATATGCATGAGTGGAGAGTTTCCAGAATCAATAATTTTGTTCCATCTGTGCTCTGGCTTCTGTTGTTCAGACCACTGGCCACTAATCTAGTATTTTTAGAAAAAGAAGTAGCATTTGTCCCCCTTTTCCACTTCGGTATTATTAGGTTTGTTTGTTTTTTATCTATTACAGGGATAGGCAGCATTGGAGAGATTAGAATGTAAAATTCAGCTTTCCAACTTATACTATGCTGTTGAAAGCCATCCAATGATGTGATAATGTTCCTGGATGTCTATTTTTAAACAATTTTTTAATGGTGAAAATGGGAATGAGAGGTCTCTGAAAGCCAAGCTACTCCAGTCCACCATTAAAATATCCCCAATAACTGAAAATAGCCCCAATCACAATCATTAGGCATGATCTTTAATTAGATTTAAGGATGGGGATGAGGAAAACCTGCCTAGGAGAGGCAACTACTTCCATTCCTTCTCTTAACTATTCTCCCCTCCCCCCAGTAAAACAGAGCCCAAATCATTATTGCTATCCTTAATTTCTAGTTCAAATTATAGTCCAATTAGATTTGGTTATTTAACTATTTTGATTATTTAAGATTACAATTTCAATATACTCATTTATTTATTTGGCAAATATTTAGCCTCCCATCTCACATGATGTGATTCTGGGTGGGAGACAACAAAACAGCATAACCAATCTTAAAACACTGACCATTAATCAAAATGAAAACATGAAGAAGTCAGAATAACAGGAGAATAACAGTCACCTAATATCATAAAACCACCACGGGATTCCCAAGGTTGCTGAAAAAAAAAACACATTTTAAATGCTTTCTGGAAAACTAACAGGGATATACCAATCTCATTTCAAGGGCAATAATCAATGTTCCAGACCACAACAGAAGCCACAACAGAAAAGGCACATCTTCTGTGTCCTGCAAGATGGCTAGGGAATTCTGGGAGTTGAAGTCCATCCTGCTTAAAGTTGCTCAGATTGAGAAACACTGCTCTAGCAGACAGGGCCTGCAGCATACCCTTACTGCAAAATGTGATGGAATTGGCAGATGTAATCATGATGAAGCAGTCTTTAATCTGGTCCCATGCTGCGTAGAGGTTTAAAGTCAAAAGTAGCACCTGCACCTTGAATTGCACACAGAAGTAGACTGGAAGCCAGTGCAACTCATGAAGCACATCCTAGGGGCACACATAAATGTCTGCACAGCTGCATTCTCTATCAGTTGAAGCTGCCAGATGCTCTTGAAGGGCAGCCCATATAGAGTATGTTGCAGTAATCTACTTTGGAAGTGACCAAGACGTGAGTAACTGAGGAAGTCTCATGGTCCAGGAAAAGGCACAATTGGTGCACAACAGAAAGCTATGCAAAGGCCCTCCTGAATGATTGGAAAAGAGCCAAATAATGCACTTCATCTAGGGCTTGCTAAAATTGTTTCACAACCACCTTCCCTAAAACAGCAAAGTTAGACTCTGAATGAGAATAGTCCAGTATGGTGGCATCTAGCAATGACTTCTTGAGGAAGGGGCAACCAATTTCTCCTTAAGGAGCAGCAGAATGACCCCTCTCTCAGAAAGGAATAAACCACTGCTAAAACCCAACCACACAACACCCCCCACCCCATTCAGCCTTAGTTAGGAGGGCATGGATCTAAGGAGCAGGTGTCTGAGTTCACTGTCATAAGGACTCTGTCCACTTCTTCAGCCCCAACAGGTTAAAACCATTCCCAGATAACCAGGCAAGATCCCAGGGATCCCAGAGATCTCCATTGGACCTATATTAAAGTTGGTGTTCAACTGTGAATGAATTTGAGTGATTTTGTCCAATAAATGCTCTGAAAATTCCTCCACATGACCCTGTAGGTAAACTTCAGAGTCCTCCTTCCCCAGGAGGGCTTGTGTCACCTTAAACAAGGTGATGGAGTGGATATCCACAGATACAGTAAAGGGCAGAAATATCATTTCTCTGCCCTTATTGCCACAAAATGGATCTTAATAACAACTGAATAATCTCACCCACTATTTAGGAGTAAATTTCATCAATCTCAGTAGAACATTTTCTAAAAGCTATTTAATAGTGGGCTAAAGAGACTGTCTAAATGATGACACAGTATAAAATAATTAGCATTTTATATATGTTTAACAGATATATAGCAAAAATGTAAGTAAAATAGGCTGCAGATCTTAACGAGTGTATGTCTACAATGATATTGAGAGTTGGCTAGCAGCAGTTAGCCAACCAGGAAGGTATCTATGAGGAAACCCCAAACTTTTGGCAAATATGGATGAAATCTTAAGGATATCGAATTCAATATACTTAAGGGGCACAGCAACAGAAGGAATGAAGTATCTTAATAACCTGAAAAACACCCTGGCTTGATGGCTCCAAAATGCTCTATCCTGCTTGTTGCAAGTCTCTATGTGATCACCCTAAGTACTGAGTAGATCTCTCATTGCTACTATAAGTAAACAAGATATTCCAGCACAAGCTTAAACTGAGCAGTGCCTCTTTAGGACCCTGAATGTGTAATCATACAGAAAAGCATTTTTCATTGCACAAGGGACAAGGATTCCAATGGAGCCGACTCGTTATATTATCCCAGAGATACTCTCTCCAAAATCAGGTGCTCTTAGACATCTCCCTTAATCAAAAATACTGTAGCTTCTTCACTTTTGCAACTATCATTTAAAAGTGATGCCTGTTAACTCATATGCTTACCTTTTAAAATCTAGCTCTGAACCAATTAAATTTCATGACTTCCGGTATGGCACATTATATCATTAACTTGTGATCTTGTGGTTTTTTTCTTTCCTATTGTTAGTGTGTCCATTCTTATCTTCAATATTTCTCGGCAATGCTTTGTTGTGGTGAAGCAGTTCCGTCCAGGTAATTCTCTATTATTTTCTAGCAAAGCAAAGTTGTTATGGATTTAATGGTAAAAAGCAGGTGGGCCTCTATAGTTGCAGCATAATAATTTGTTTTGTAGCGAGAGGAAGCTGCAGTCGACCTTCTGGTAAATTACTGTACTCTGAGCTTCCTGATAGGATGTTACCTTCCTGAGATCTTTCAATTTCACTGTAAGTTTATACCTCTCAATTAAGGTGAAAGATGTTTTCCGCTAAAGGGAAAATCTATCACTTTTATCTCCTGCTGTTTCTCCAAGGCAAGGGAGACAGTCATGACAATTGACTATAACTCACTAACCCGGCATCATTTAATGGATAGCCAATTGTTGTTACAGATATCTATCTGAAGGATTGTCTATGCAAACCTAGTTTAAAGATTTCTAAAACAGGTGAGCCTCAAACTAAATTTCAGGAGTGAACATCTGTCCATTTGTGACACTCCTGATCACAGCATTCTCCATTATAATGAGATAATTTCTGTTACTATTGGAGCAATTATTTATACATCAATACCTATATATACAAATGAGTAAGTACACATGCCCTATCTTGTACTCTTTTTCTGACAACAGAAGAGTGGTCACTTTACCATCCTTCCTAATATCTTTAAATAGCTATAGGTTTCATAAAAATTAACTTATGTAGTTGTAGAAGAGGTAAGTAAACAAAAATAAACAAAATGATAAAGCAAAATGAATTGATTTAAAAACATGAAATTTCAGAAAAATAGGATTTACAGTAGTTTCAAACTAATTTCCATTGAAAAGAATAAAAATCTCATTTGTCCAGCACCCACTGATCTAACTTCTGATGGTGAGAAACCTAGAAATAAGTCTCATCTGCTTCATTCAATTGGTAATCAGAGTTGTATGAGAGAAACAGACTTTTGTGTACTGACTTACCAGTTGTTTAGCCTTTATGACCAAATAGTCTAGCCCAATGATATGTTAAACTGAATACAGCTCACCATTAGCCAGGGGGCATGATAACAAATCCCCCAAGAATTTCTATTGCCGAGTGCTTTCTCCCCATGTTTGGATGCCACCTTTTTCATTAAGCCCAGTTCTATGCCTTAAACCAGGGGTCACCAACCTTTCGGACCTGAGGGACCACTAAATTCATAATTTTAAATCCCACAGACCACTAATATGAATTTTTTAAAAAGATAAATAGTATTTAGTGCAATATAAAAATGCAAATAATGTTTCTGCGGACCACCAAAATTTTCTCACGGACCACCAGTGGTCCACGGGCCACTAATTGGTGGCTACTGCCTTAAACAGTTCTAGTCAATCTTAGACAATTAGCAGGGTAGCCTTTCTTTGTCACTTGATATGATCTTACTGTGGCTTACAGGCTTACTGTGCTCACAAGCTAGGAAAACAGGGGGGGGGGGGAAAGGCTACAGGACTGAGAAAAAAGACAATGGTAAATCACTTCTATATTTTTACCCAAAAATTGAATGCGTGTGTCTTACGTAGTCACCAGGAATTAAGTAATTTGGGGAATCTTTACCTTTTTACCTACATGAAAATTAAAGCCATTTACTAAATTTTAGTGTCAAACTGCAGTACAAATAATCCCATTTCATAAAGACTGCACCCTGCATAACCAATGTTCCCTGTACCCTATAACAGCAATCAACACAGTAGTATAAATTGAATCAGGTAGATAAAACTTTGCTTTTTTTAATTGTCTTTGACAGAATTATATTTCTCTTAATGTTTCCTTTACATGCATTGTATCACAACAGTTGTTTCTAGATTAATGCAAAAACTCTGTTGCAAATTCTACTTGGCAATCTCTGCAAAGGGCTAGTATGCATTCAGAAGAGACTTTTCAAACAAGCATACATGTTATAACTCTAGTTATACAGCAACTGATTTGGCCAGCCGAAAGAGTCAATGCTGTGCATATGGTACATCATGTACACACCAGTGTCCAGAAAGTATCAGTGAGTGCTGGGAAAATACTGTAAGCATGTTAGCTGATAAATAGAAATTGGTCCTGAAGTAACAATAATTCTGGAAGAAAAAAAAAATCAGACTCTAAGCCATTCAAATATGTCTTCTCCTCTGCTCAATGCAATTAATTGATTTCCATTCAACCTGCAAAATACTCAGAATAATAGATAATCCAGTGTACATCTCATTAAGACTTTTACAGCTTGAATATATATATACAAGAGATTAATTGCTATTAAAGCAGATTTGTTTTAATTCTGCCCTTCAAGTCTTCTGTGGCAATCCAGAAAAGGGAGGCGAGAAATGTTTTAGTTAATACGGTATTATTAACCTAATAGTCATATTTTCCATTTTCTATCTTCTCCCTGATTTGAAGGAAATGAGCCAAAGCCATAACCGGAATAAAGCCTAATTATGTAATTAAAAGAATTGCTCTTCCTATATTTGTTTTAAGGGTAATAAAGCCATGAAATTGAGCTCACAGTATCTATATTACTGGCAACATTTTGAGGGAAATGGCTGTTTCAAAGTAGTACTAAAGCTACCTCCCCTGTGATGAGAATTGGGATGCTCTTCCATTTTTTTTAATGCATGGAAGGATGGGTTGGCATCTACCTGAGTCATCCTATTTCTCTTTTCAGAGAAATGCAACCTGATCCTGCATGCTCAAAAAAGTGACAAGTGATTGATTTTACTTTTTCCAATTTTTTTTCCAGCTGTCTATATGTGTGAAATGGAACAACAACGTCCTCAGTACTTTGAAAATAAAACTGAAGAGAGCTGGTGCCCTCTGTCTGATTTTTTGCCTGCTTCAAAAGGAATAACATATGAACTCTGTGCTGGTATTGTAGACCAGCCAGACCTCTCTTTGGAAGAAATTGCTTGCAAGGAAGTTTTAGAAGAATGTGGCTATGAAGTTCCTGTAACCAGCCTAAAAAGAATCACTTCATACAGGTTGGTAGATCAATGATTTTCAAAGACTAATCAAAGTTTTGAAACATATGTTGCAATCTGCTAGATATTTTTGACAGATTTTTTTTCCATTAGGTTTGTGAGTTTTCTTTCTTTGTTTGTTTTTTCCCCCAGTCCCAAGTTCCCAGTAAAAGTAACAGATTCTTCAGGCCTTAGTAGATCATTGGAACTAGGCTGCAGTCACAAATAGTTAGGATGACTGGCCTTTATCTTTGAGCATCTGGGAATTGGTGGTAGTGACATCTGCTATAAAATCTCGAAAGACGAAGGCAAGAAGAAAGAGAATTGTTCCTCTTTGAACTTCATATCTAAGGCTTCAGGGTAATAAATCCCTTGTAAAGCATTTATCAATTAATTATAATATTACTATATTGCCATATTCGAGAATGATTTGTGATATAAAAACAAAAGACACAGTGACCCCCAAAAAAGTTCAAATAATATCAATTGAACTGTCATAATATTGAAATATATTATTCTGATCTCATTCTGGCAATCCCAAATAAAAAGCTCTCTGCAACACTATCATTTTTACAATCTTTCTAAGAACATCAAGGTGAAAGAGCAGTACTTCCCTCTAAGGACCCCTACTACCTTCTCAAAAGCAGGGCAGGGAGCCCTTAAGCATCCTTTCACTGAATGAGCATAAGGAACAGGAGGAGTCTATTTACAGAAAGTGGTCCTGAAGATACATGGGAACTAAATCATTTAAGCTTTCAAGAATAAAATCAGTATGTCAAATTATAAGTGAAAACCTATTGGTAACTAGTACAAAACCTGCAGATCTGATATATTGCTGTAACAATTCTGATCCACCAACCATCGGGCCTTGTATATTACATTATAATAGTTTAAACTCTAACATAGAGAAGGACAGGATTTACCATTACCAAGTGTTTTATGGCCTGAGTGGCTAGAATAAATCAAATGAATAAGCAAATAAATAAATGTTCTTCTGCTACTAATAGAGTAAGTAAAGACTGACTGACCACGGTTGAGCAGTAGCTTTGAGTTACGGACTTGTTTCTTTAGGTGGAATGTGCAATCCTTCCAGAGTAAAATATTGTCAGCTGGTTTTCAGACAAAAATGGTAAGGAAGACAGAATGCAATAAAGACAATATCTTGTCTACCATTTGGTTTTATGTAATATAGAGAATTCCTTAAAACATACAATATTTATATAATCTAAGGACACATTATTACTATGCTGTATGCATACATACACAGTTTTAAAGTATTTTTTAATATACAGTAATTCATTTTTTCAAAGCCACATAGTAATAGAGATAGGAAAACAGAATCCTATATATATGAGTCTATACTAATTTGCATATAATGCTCATCTATTGGCTGTCAAAGGATTCAGTAGTTTCCCAGTTGTGCTATTTAATTAAAATATACAAAAAAGAAAGAAAGAAAGATGTCAAGGACTGAGCTCAAAATGTTCTACATGCTAGGTTTTGTTTTATTAGTGATCTACTGACTTTCTGGTCAGTAAATAACACCATAAATCTAATCCAATCTGCTATCATTATAACACGAACAAAAAGGCAAGGGAGACAATGACATTTTTATCATAGTCTACACAGAAGCTCGAAAAGAAAAATCTTTATCTGTTGTGTCATATAATTGATAAGCAGTTTGCTTTGTTTTCTTCTTTGCAGAGTTGATATCTTTTGCTCAGGAGTGAAATCTAAAATTTGTTACTACCGGTTCTGTGGGCGTGGCTTGGGGGGTAATGTGACTGGGTGGGCGTGGCCATTTTTTTTTTTTTTTACTTTTAAAACTATTTTTTCTACAACCTCTTTGGCGAAGAGGTTGTTAAAAAATGCTTTCAAAAGGCTCTGACGATCCCAGCTGAGTTGTCTGATCGGCAGAGACTTTTTTTCTTTTAAATGCCTCTGACGATCAGGCAACTCAGCCTGGATCGTCAGAGGCATTTAAAAGAAAAAAAGGGTTTTTTTCTTTTAAAAGCCTTTGATGATCCCAGCTGAGCAGCGCGATCATCAGAGGCTTTTTTTTTATTTTTAAAAGCATTTTTTTCGGCCGAAGAGGTTGTAGAAAAAATGCTTTTAAAAGTAAAAAAAAAAGCCTCTGATGATTGTACGGCTCAGCTGGTCATGGGGTGGGGTGGGGGCAGAGATTTTTGCTACCGGTTCTCCGAACCACCCGCCTCCATCACTACCAAACCGGGAGCATTTCACCCCTGCTTTTGCTACATTTAATTTTCATAGAACTCCATTAATGTCCTCTTACATTGCAGGTCTGCCACCATAACTTTCTGCTACCAAGGGAGTTATGATTTTATCACCAAAAATGGTAGCTCTATATGTCTTGCCTTCTTACTTTTTTTACCCAAGTTGGGATCTCATCACATTGCACATTTTTCTTGCCAGAAAACAGCCTTTGAATTGAGCCAGAGGTAGGGAAACACATAACTGGATGAAATTGTATAACAAGCAACTAGTGAAACTTGAGTTGGGGCTGCTGTTATCACCAGCATCACCTTGAAAAAGTCCCTTTCTATTTACTTTTGTTTGCTGATTCTTAAAAGTAAAAGCCCAAGACCACTCCAGTCACAGTCAGTCTAGACACATGGCTAGATTACCTATTTACTGCCAAAACTGATTAAAGAAGGCAATGCCAGAACAGTAAACAGTATTAGCCCTTGACTTCCTGCAGATGTAGGTATTTAGAGCTCTCAGATGTTCTGCCTTTTTAAATGCATTTGTTGCCTACAGCAAACACTTGTGTCCAAACACACTGTTTCAAGATTGTTGAGATGGAGTTGACCATTTTCTGGTCCTGGGGTAATTGAAGGATTATTTCAGTTATTAATTACATTATGGGATCTGTTTTTTGTTTTTGTTTTTGTATTCCAAAGTTACTGTTGTAAGGACAACAACATTTTTATAAGGGATTTAATACTGTTGCTGTTTCATTGAAATTCAGTCAGAAATGAGAGGAGAAGCCTCTCTCTCTCTCTCTCTCTCTCTCTCTCTCTCTCTCTCTCTCTCTCTGTGTGTGTGTGTGTGTGTGTGTGTGTAGTATTTGGAATTAAAGAAATGTCAGGAATTAAATACTCTGAAATGAAAATGTGCTTATAGCCTTCTGCCTCCCCAGATTGCAGTCTTCTGAAAAAAGCATCTGTTCTTATACTGGGAAATGCACGTCAAAATGTATGGAAAAGTGGTGACTTTAAAAGGAAGCAAAACTTTGCTTTTCTCTTGACAACTGTGTTAAAGTGGACACTAACAGTTAAACAAATGAAGAAGGTAGAGGAAGGGGGAAAAGGGGGAATTAAGTATAAATCCTCAGCTGCCAATCCTGGCAAATGTTGTTTCCTGTTGGATTAACAAACTGTTTGCTTAAAGAGAGAGGACACTGAACAGAGGAGAAGACTTTTGCTACTCCTTGGAGCCACATTAGAGGACTAATTTTATAGATGAAAAGGTGCTTTCTTTAATATGGAATACTGTAAAGCCTGCAGTCCTAGCCATGCTTTGTTGGGAATCAACCTCATTATACTCAGTACAATACTTTTGAGGAAAAATAGATAATCACACCTTAAAAGTTGCATCTTGGAATTCTGTTGTATACAATATATCATTACCATTTTGATCTGTAATTTAGAAGTCAATCCTCCCAAAAAGCTTTGATGAAGTAAATTCTTCCTTACCACCATTGTAATCCACAATGTGGTAATAGATTATATCTGTATGTTGCAAAATAGTATTAGCCAAATAATTGGAAAGAAAGATAGAGATAAGAAAGACTGAGATAAGAGTTATTAGAAAGGTTATATACATGGGATGCTTTGTGTTCTGTATGTATTTGAGTGGAGAGCCATGATAATAGAATGGCTTCATAGCCCTCTTGTAAGATTTAATTTAATTTAATTTAATTAATTAAATTTATATGCTGCCCCTCTCCAAAGACTCAGGGCGGCTCACAATACATTTAAAAAATCATTATAAAAAGACATTGAAAAATTAAAAAACATTAAAACATTAAAAACTCATTCATACCATTCATGGCCGGCTCTCACCAGATCACAAGAGCGAGATCAACGGCCCCAGGCCTGCCGGAAAAGCCAGGTCTTCACCGCTTTTCGGAAGGCCAATAGGGTGGGGATGGTCCGGACCTCAGGAGGTAACTGGTTCCAGAGAGCTGGGACAGTCGCGCGGGTGATTATGGGGGCGACTCGTCGCACCCATGTGACACCTCTCCTGCGTGAGCTGCACTGGCTCCCAGTGGTCTTCCGGGTGCGATTCAAGGTGTTGGTCACCACCTTTAAAGCGCTCCATGGCTTAGGACCGGGATATATACAAGACCGACTTCTGCCATCGACAGCCTCCCACTGGCCAATACGCTCCCACAGAGAGGGGCTCCTCAGGGTGCCGTCGGCCAAACAATGTCGACTGGCGACGCCCAGGGGAAGAGCCTTCTCTGTGGGGACACCAGCACTCTGGAATGAGCTGCCCCTAATTGTGCGTATGATCCCCGACCTGCACACCTTTCGCCGCACCCAGAAGACCCAGCCGGGCTGGGCTAACACGAATATGAATTTTAATGGGTGTATGTTAGTTTTTAATTTGTGGGCCAAATTTTTGTAGATTTGATTTTAATGGTTTTTAAATTTTGTAAATGTTATGTGTTTTAATATGGCTGTACACCGTCCTGAATCCTTCGGGAGAAGGGTGGTATAGAAATATAATAAAAGTAAAAGTAAAAGTAAAGCCACAGAGAAGGCCCTCCCCCACGGGCCCACCAGCCGACATTGTTTAGCTGACGGGACCCGGAGGAGACCAACTCTGTGGGATCTTACAGGTCGCTGGGAGCTATGCGGCAGAAGGCAGTCTCGAAGATAACTTGGCCTTGAGCCATGTAGGGCTTTAAAGGTAATAACCAACACCTTGAATTGTGACCGAAGACCAATAGGGAGCCAGTGCAGCTCGCAGAGAATTGGTGTAATGTGGAT